GATGGATGGATGGATGGATGGATGGATGGATGGATGGATGGATGGATAGGTGGATGGATAGGTGGATGGATAGGTGGATGGATGGATGGGTAGGTAAGTAGATGGATGGATGGGTAGATGGATGGATAGGTAGATGGATGGATGGATGGATGGATAGGTAGATGGATGGATGGATGGATGGGTAGATAGGTAGATGGATGGATAGGTAGATAGGTAGATGGATGGATGGATGGATAGGTAGATAAGTAGATGGATGGATGGATGGATGGATAGGTTTATAGGTAAATGGATGGATATGTGGATAGGTAGATGGATGGATGGATAGGTAGATAGATAAATGGATGGATGGATAGGTAGATGGATGGATGGATAGGTAGATAGGTAGATGGATGGATGGATGGATAGGTAGATCGGTAAATGGATGGATGGATGGATGGATGGATGGATAGGTAGATGGATGGATGGATGGATAGGTAGATAGGTAGATGGATGGATGGGTAGATAAGTAGATGGATGGATGGGTAGATAAGTAGATGGATGGATGGATGGATGGATGGATAGGTTTATAGGTAAATGGATGGATAGGTGGATAGGTAGATGGATGGATGGATGGGTAGATAAGTAGATGGATGGATAGGTTTATAGGTAAATGGATGGATGGATGGATGGGTAGATAGGTGAATGGATGGATATGTGGATGGATGGATAAGTAGGTGGATGGATGGAACAAAAAGCATCCTGCTTTAACTGCCATTTAAAAGTAGCCATGTATTCTAACTAAATGCCATTTTTGCAAGCAATATTTATTTATTTATTTAGGGCTCTTAAAAGTGCGGCATAATAATTTGTTCCTATTTCCTGCATTGAGTTTTAATATAGTGATCGGTCACATGACATTTACATCTCAGATGATTGGCTGAAAAAAAAAAATCGGTTCATATAGTCCCAGGGGTCCTGCACCAGCTGAACAAGTACCATTGAGATGAATAGGAATACTAGAGATCTTCAGGTATATTAGACCTTATTGGTATTCAAGAGGGAAAGAGCAGTGTGTGCTTTGGTTTGAGTTTCCTCCATCACTATAACACAACACACACATTACTCTCTCGGTTCCGCTCAGTGTGAACGCTGCGCTGGTATTTCCTGTTTATGCTGTTGGACAAACGCCCTTTGAACTTCTCCAACATGCACTCCCTCGGGACACCCCCGTTCTGCACTCCGGCCCCCTGTCCAGCCCCTCTCAGCATCCCTTTGTGTTCACTGCAAATAACACAATCAGCATGGTCTGCACTCGCCAAGATGTCGGGAGTCTTTTGTGGTTGGGTTTGTGAATGAGTGTGTGTGTGAGAACCTCAACACCTGGCCATCACAGACGCATTCACCCGTCTGAAGATAAATGAGCTTATGCAGTAATCACACAGCTTATGTCACGACTACATGCTGAAAACTATGCCTCTCAGCTTATTTAAATGAGCAGAAACTATCAGAGAGTGCTGAGAACATATTAGATTCCCTTTTTACACCTGATAAGAGCACCTTAAAAGAGCATGGGGGCAGTGCAAGGAACTGAGTAATTCCTTGTGAAAAATTATTTGGTTTTGGTTTAATTAAAAAAGTTATCAGAATGAAATAATGGCATTGTTAAATGGTTACCAGCGTTTAAAAATAATGTTTTCACTCTAAACCAATTTTCCATTTCGTTTTTCAAAAATTTCTTATATTTTTCGATTTTTGTTTTCCTGATCACATTTGTAGTGTAACATTTAAGTATCCAGATATGTATGTCAATAAGAGATGTTTTTATTTGAAGGAAATTAACACTTTTAATTGATCAAAAGTTACGGTAAAGTAATGTTGATGCAAAAGATTTCTACTTTCTATTCATCAAAGAATGAAATATCTTCGAATCTTGTCAAATAAATGTATCACGGTTTCCACAAAAATATGAAGCAACACAACTGTTTTCAACATTGATAATAATAAGAAATGTTTAATCAAATCAGCATATTCATGTGACACTGAAGACTGGAGTAATGGTGACAATAATCATAATAAATAGCATATCAAATATATTCAAATAGAAAACATCAATTTTAAATTCTAATAACATTGTACAATATATTACTGTTAAAAAAATTGTCAGGGCATGCAATCCCACTGTAACATAACTTTATCCTAATATTTATACCAAGAAATGAACTGAGACTGAATAGAATGATGTGTTTTGTTCTTTGTGTTGAGATTATTTACAAGCCTGCGACATTGTATTTACTCGACACCGTGAATAGATTGTTGACATTTGGCCATGAGACAGTAGAAACAATGAGTGGGAAAGACCACAGCGGACAGAGAAACAGAGAGAAGTTTGGGCTGTGAGCAGCGTAGAAAGATTCTGATCAAGAGGTAGACAGCCACTTGAAGAAAACAAAGAGTGTGTTTTTATAAATGAGCTCCGAGTAGACAAGAACTTGAGGAATGGAGTGTATTGAAGTGTTTCTTTAGTTAATACAGGCCTCTCGGGGAGCTGAAGATGTATTGTTACACACACCGGGAGTCTGATCTGATCGAGTCAGGCGGATTGAGAATGGTCCAGGGGAGTGGCGATCCAAGTTTATGTGTGTAAGTGTGTGTGTTACGATGGCAAGACTCGCATTCCTGCTACTGTAACCCAGAGGAGGGCCGCCTTCCTCCTCCCTCCCTCCGTCCCTCTCTCTCTCCTTGTCCTTCTCACCCTCCCTTCCTCCTTTCCTCCCTCGCTCTCTCTTGCTGTCCCTCTCCGCACCACTCCATAATTAAACGATCACAGGATGATGGTAAGAATTTGAGCTGAAGTTGATAACCTGCAGGATTGAGTAAAGAGCTTGATTAGCTAAGAATAGACGTTTAGAGCAGCGGGCACTTGCTGCTTCTCCTCGATTTGGCTGTTTTTCCCCCTGTGTTTCCAGCTGAGGGAGGTGTCCTCTACAATTCTCTGTCACCCCAAGCACCCTTACAGATTGCCGTGCCACCTTTGGGTATGCCAGGGGTAAGTTTGTTTGCTGACTGCATGCTCAGACATACGCTATGCATCTCTGTCTCCGGTGAGTTTAGATAGTCGTGCAACAGGTGTACCTTGAATGATGCAGTCAATTGTATTGTGAATTTATTTTTGCTCATATTTGGATATAAATGGCTGATTTGTTTCTTGTAATGTTGTAATGCAAAAAGTTGCCGCCTTAGTGTGAACAAGGTACACGAGGCTGTGTGTTACTGCACATGTTGTGTAGTTTGATTTGCGGCGCTTATATAAAGTGGTTAGAAGTTCTTAAACTGATCCGATTGAGTTGTTTATTGTTTCAGTTGTGGTGTGTGTGATTGGTCACCGAGGTCTGAGTGAAATGTACTTGTATGTAGATGCCGTTATGTTTTAATGGACTTGTGGTGGGAAGGAAACTGCAAGGCTGGCAGAGTTCAGATTAGCATGTACACACACAGAGTAACACTATAATCTGGATTAGTGGTCTGGAGGTGGTTTACACCATTAATCAGTGCAGACAAAGATCAGCTAATGTTGATTTTTACATTCTTTTGTGTTTGCGTGCAGTATGTTAATGGATGCGTATTGTGGTGTGTGTGTGTGTGTGTGCGCGCATGGTTGCAGGAGTTCACAGTGCCGTTCTACAGGCTGCTTTGGAATTCCAAGTGTTTGTCTGCATTTGCAGGAACATGTGCGTTTGACATCCGTTTATGCTTGTGCAAAGGAACATACACAAACTGTACACGTACAACTAATTTGCGTACACGTGTACTTTTATGCAAGTATAGATCAAATGTAAACTTCAAAGTGTGTGTTTGTGTTTGTGTGTGTATGTGTCTTGCATGCAGAAATTGTGTTGCAGTTGTGTATAGGTAAGAGATAAGTGAATGTAATTGTGTTACATGATTAGGTTACAACGCTCTGGTAATGTTGTTGTAACATTTTGATAGCGTCACTATATCAGTCCATAGTGGATTCCTGTTTTTCAACTCTGCTGGAACACACTGTCTGTTCAACCTTTCCTGTTGTGTTTCTCCTACACACTCCACTGCAGTGGCCTAGATAGTGTGTGTGTGTGTCTGCCTGCACATTGTTTGTGCTTTGATTGAAATCGTTATAAGCAGCTCTCTGATACTGAAGCAAAATCCTCAGACTAATAAATATTAATATTTGTATTGCTTAACATTTCTTTACTGAAGGCTAAACACATTGCTTAATTGGCTTTGTTTTGTGTTTGCATGTATGAGATATTCTTTAAAAGAAAATGAGGAAAAAGTACTATGCCAGCCTTGGCATCGCAACCACATATTCTTCTCTATTAGATATGGATAGATTTACAGAGAGTTTCATGTTTAGCTCTCAAATACCCACAGGATATTGCCAGATATTATGCTCCATTGCGAGAATACTAGTAACATGATAAATGTTTATACCTTCAACATATTACAAATGAATTGAATTGTAAAATTGGATTTATTTGGTTTATTCACATTCAAATGTTTTGATAAGTATGTTTCAATTGTATTTATACAACTTTTCCAAATATCTGTTTGTGCCGTTGTTAGCAGCATCTTAATGTCAAACTCTATCGGAATCAATTGCAAGTTGAGTCTCCCTTGTATTTCATGTGAAGAGAACTATTTTTGTAGCATCTACATAGGTGTGTATAGCATAGAGTTGCTACCTATGTAGAGCAGTTTTGTAATTGAGAACTTGGCCCGAGATCAAGGCCATATTTTCATGTTCTTATCATGGACTCGAGAGCATGTGGTCCCGGTTTTGACTCAAACTCGACCCTCTTCTGGTCTTGGTCTTGACTCGAGACTCGAATGAGCTGGTCTTGACTACAACACTGATGTAGACTATTGCAAATCAGTCACTAACAAGGTTCCATTTCAGTTAGAATGCTGTATTTAAAGGCAGCTCTAGGAAGTAGAGAACAACACAGTATGTGTTGACCGTAACCTCTTTTTATGTGTTTCAGGGACTTCGCTCAAAGATGGCAGCCTGCTCCTGGATCCAAGGCTGCCATGTTGGTGAAAGTTAACAGCATTGGAAGAAACCAGTCTCTGGGACCAGCTACTGGACACCACCTTCTCCATCACAACCCCACCAACACTAGCACTTCACCCAGACCAGGTTACACAGCGCAACTTGACTTAACTGGTTTGTTCAACAAAATGGCTGTGCCTGGAGACTCCAAGCAGGGTTACCACCTCAAAAAGGGGGATGCCAACTTCTGTCTGGTTTTGCCCTCTTCTAGCTCTTCCTCGGCGCACCAGCGCTCTGGTGCAGGTACACCCCGCCCCTCTTCCCCTCAATATGGAGCTTTACCCTCAGCACCCATCTATGATGAACCTCCACCCATGGATCCCCCCATTTACGATGAACCCCCAGTGGAAATGGAAGTAGAAGGTGCGCACCACTTGCGCAGAGGTCCCTACTCCACCAGTCACAGCCTGTCGAGGGGAACCCAGCCTCCTAAACTCCTCCAGTTCCCCCATTCCAAACAAGTCTGCAGCTCCTCAGCTAGCGAGTACAGTCCGGCCGGCCGGGAGTGCATCAAACACATGGTAAATGTGGATTCAGCTGTATCCAAGCACCAGCCCCAGATGTCTAATCCTATCGAGGGTCCTTCAAATCCAACCAGCCCTCAAATCCAGCCCCAGTCTCCAGTCTCTGCCCAGATTAAGAAAGAAATCTCTCTAGAGAAGAAGCAATCATGGAGGCTGTTGGAGCCTCGCCATAGTCGTCAAAGCAGCCTGGCCTCTCAGGAGTACCCAGGCCCTGTTGCTGTCACATACCAGGATTCTGGCTACTCCACTGGACCATCCCCAAGTCTGCGAAGGAAAAACCGTCGGCGTCCAGCTCTGGGTGCTGGGTCTGGTCGGCCCGGGTCGGTGGGCAGCAGTAGTGAGTTAAACGCATTGAATGAAAAGCTAATGGCAGAAATGAGGGCGGTGGTGAACCGTTCTAACGCACTTCATGGCAGCAAGGCCAGTCTGGACACTGAGATTGGATCGGAGGCTTCTGGGAGTACCGCCCGCTCACCAGTCAGTTCATTGAAGATGGGTGCTAGAGGGTGTGGATCAAGGGAGGATGTGACATCAAGTAACCGATCACTGTATAAGGGTGGGGGCAACAACCATGGTGACGTGCTGCTGTCGCCACTGGTGACAGATGGGCTCGGAAGCCGGCAAAAGAGGACGTATGAGAAAGTGGATTCGCTGGAGATGAGCGTAACATCACAGACCAGCTTGTCCTCTCCAGAACCGCCAAGGTCTCCCTCACAGGTATAAACACTTTTTGCAGCTATCCACTTGCTTGAGTGTCCTAATTCCGGAAATGCTGTTATGGTTGGTCCAGTGAGGTAATCTGGCTGATTCTCTTTTCCTGTATTTCTTTTTCTTTTAATTACCCTTCTCTCTTTCATTACTCCTCACATTTGAGAGTCTGACTGTGTCTTATGGAGTGGAAAAGCAAAAAAACGCTTCTCATCCGGTTGTTGTAGATACTATGCAGGAGATGGCGAGGCTTGGGGTTTCCTGAGCTGAAGAGGGTGTGAATGTTACATTCTAAGGAGATTTACTTTGTGTGTGTGTGTGTGTGTGTGTTGTGCTTAGATTAAGAGGACTGTACAAAGGTCAGTGGTTGTTTTTCTCAAGAAACAGATTAAGGGGAAAATGCGAGGTTATGAGACAGGTGAGTGTAGCATGCAAAGAATTGTTGACGGAGAGATGTAAAATTGGCAAAAGTAAAAGAATAATTTAAGTGTGTGTGTTTTTTGTTTTTTTGGGGGATGTACATATGGGAATCGGGTAGCAAGTAGGTCAGTGCAGAGCTTGAGAACCAAATTACTTTTTCAGGCCGTGTTCATGGATGACTGTATGAAGAGTGTGTTTTTTGTGGATAGCGGATATTGGTCATAATAAAGGCAGATAACCTACTTTAGCAGAGTAAATACACAGTGAAACAATACTGCAACTACTGACACTGCAGACAGTGGAACTCATGTAATCTGTTTCATGAATCATACAGTTGAAGTCAAGCAAAAACTCTTATTAGCAAGCAACAGTCCAGGGACTTGAGCAATTTTAGTTGCAATAGTCTTTTCTTACCTGTTGTGACGTATATCTGAGTGAAACGGCTTTTCGAAGAGAAAATTTTTTGGGCTGGACCTAATTTCGTCCATGGGGAACTAATTGGATCGTTGTTTGCTATTGCTGTAAACTAATGTGATTGACAGGTTGTCCCACCCTCACGTCAGTAAACACGTCATCAAAGAAGAGAAGAAATGTCATTGCAAGAGGGAGGGGAAGTTATTTTGATTTAAGCTTAGGAGGGTATTTATTTATTTTTAAATGTGCATTTTGCTAAATAATTTATGATGCAATACTCCATAAGAATATGAATTGTCCATTTTGATTTCATGGTGACTTTAAGAAGGCAGCTGTCTATGTATGGATTGGACTCCAGTGCATCTCAGCAGGGTTTGAAATAAAGCTTAAGTGTTTTGGATCCAGGCTCTGGATTCGGTAGCATTAGCGTGTGTGTTAATGCTGCCTGTTCATGAAGTCATTCCCACACAAGTGCTGGAAAAACTGCAACATAAATTACCCTTTCGTCCGTGCTCCACCAGAAACAACCTGTCTGTTTTAAAACATAACAGAAATTTAAGCGCTGGTGCTATTTGCAGAATAATTGAGAAAGGAAAACAGAGACCAGGCTAGTCCCCTCATTCAATAAGCCAGGTGTTGTGGTCGTACAAGACAGTCGGCTCTTACAACTCATTGTGATTTGGCACATTTAGGTAATGTGTTTCGATGTGTGTGCTGACAGTTCCATTTGTCATTAGTGTAGTGCTCCACATGTGGTTTGGCTTCTCCTGGGGAGCATGAGTTGGTGGAGTTAATATTATGGATCTTAATAAGAGAGGTTTGTCATCAATCAAAATGATCATAAACGATTAAAATAATCACACCAGTGCAACTTAAATCAAAATTACCTTTTTCTTAAACATTATGCAGGAATGCCTATGTTAGTCTTTGTGAATGGATAATGATAATTTCATCCCTACAGTATTCAGCCTCCTCTATATGTCTGCTGGCACTTCAGCTATTTTCTAGCCTTCAACGTGCCTCATTAACTTCATCAATCTCTTTGTCTCTCTCTCATACTCATACAAAAATAAATGTAAAGGCATAGTTGTGAGGTTGGAAACATTGACTCAGTGATTTGGTTCAAAGCAAGCTTATTACATCTTAATGGAGGTAGAACCGCACTAATGTCTAGATGCATGGAGAAACACTTCATTCTTACAATTTAATATGACCACATTGTTAAATCTGTATCACTTAGGGCACAGTGGCACATTGACGTAATGCCAGGGGGCGCCAAGGCAGGAAAGGAAAGCCTTATGTTACGGGAGTATATCGCAAATGTAACGTGCTGGATATGCATGCCACTGCATACAGATGACATCATGCTCATAACCTGTCATCTCTCATTGACTCTTTTTGTAACCATAATAATGTCAGCATGATTGTGTCCAGTTGTATCGCATGTACTAAAGAAACAAATATCTCAAATAAAATGTTGATGTTTTTATAGATTTTTTACTGCCGGTGGCAGTCATCCTGGACTTATACCGTGTCCTAACCAGTCACAACAGAACAAGTGCCCCGTGAAAAACAATTTGTATGTCCAAAGTGACCGTAAAACTGCAGCGCAATGTGATACGATCACATTCACAATCTTTCGCAGTCAGCCATGATCAATTTATTTAGTATCCCATTATCGGTCGGATATCAGTTATCACGATTTATTGAGTAGTATTTGGCCCTGTCCCAAATGGCACCCTAAACACTCGCGGTCTTCCTACGAGTTCACACTTTTTTTTCCCCTTTTCCAAAATCCTTTACACTTGGATGTACTTAATATGGAAGAAAAGATCTGTCGCTGCTTCCGTTTCATCATGACTTTAAAGATATTTTGAAATGAGAGAAAATTACTTAGTCGTTAAAATCATTTTCTTCAGTGTAGGAGTTGGACAGGGTTTTTTGGAGCATTAATGAGTTAGGAGAGAGGGAGAGAAGAGGGGAGGCAGTAATTTTTGATGTTGGGATGTGATTTCCATATTGGGTCACCTATTTAGGGAGCGAGCGTAATCCATGACAAAAAGCGTTTCCAGGTTTCTGCAGGGAGAGTGAGTAAGCCAATCGGCTGCTGCCTACGCAACACATGCACTCAGATTCAAGTTCCTGCGGCAGTCGTGATGATGCAAATAAGTGCCAGAACAGCTGCATCCGTGCTGATATCTTCTTGTTTCTCAATCTCTTATTTTTGTCTCCAGACAGGAACACTGGAATCCAAAACTCAGCAGGACGTCTCGCCCCAGGATGACCATGACAGAGAGGGTCGTGGAACTGCCCACCTCACCTATAAAAACAACAACAACAATCCCCCTCCTCCTCATGCCAGCACGGGTTCGGGTTACCAGTACCCGTACACTACCCTCTGCAAACCTACACCCGACGCCAACATGGAGGACTGGGCCAGCAAGAACCTTAACCAACACACGCAAGGCCTGTTTCGCCGGCGCGTCTCCATCGCTAATATGCTGTCGTGGAACCGAGGCTCCATTAAGAAACCCATGCTGATCACCAGCGACCGCACTGTCAAGAAGGAAGCCTGCGAGATGTTCAAGCTGGTCCAGGCCTACATGGGCGACAGGCCGGCCAGATTGGACAAACGCCACGTGGCCCTTCAGGTGGTCACGAAGTGCTGGGGGATGCAAGGGCTGAGGGACGAGCTGTACGTGCAGCTGGTGCGACAGACCACCGATAACTTGAGTTTGAGGAGCTTGGAGGCAGGCTGGGAGTTGATGGCCATCAGCTTAGCGTTCTTCTCGCCTTCACCCAAATTTAGACGCTATTTGGAAGGGTACATCCAACGACACCTTGAACCTAGTAACGATAAGAAAAGTAAGTTTCAAATATTTAGTTTTTAGATAAATCCCACTTTTGATATTTTGTATCTAATGTAATGAAATTCTCACATTTTGTAAGTGTGGCTTAAGTGTCCAAATACTTATTTGGACATACTTTTTGAGGCCAGTGTATGTCTTGGATAGTCCAGTGTTTTTGTTTGTAGGACATGGAAAGGACACACACAGGGGAGTGTTTATGTTTTAGGACGTCCCATATGGATTCAGACCTGAAACAGTCATATACATACAAACAGAGCGGGCCAATATTGGTTACACTGCTAAAATTATTATGGCATTGTGCCTACCCAAACAGGATATAACACTGTGGAGGAGGGAAAAATAAAACGCAGGGGTTAGAGCAGGTTAAACATCACACAGGTCATGGAACAATAAAGTCGAGTATTGTTCAGACGGACTGTTGGAGCGTATGAGTGTTCAAAATTAACAGTTTGTTGTATCTGACAGTACTTCAGCACATCATGGATCAGCAGGACATAAAAAACAAGAAGATTTCCAAGTCCAGAAAAAAGAGGAGACAGAACAATGAGGAAGAAGAGGATGAAGGTGAGTTTATGGTGAAATTTGTAATTTTGCAAACACACACTCAGGGAAACATGCATACACACATGAAATTATATTTTGGACGGATTGCACAACATTTTTAAATTTAGAACCTTTTTCATAATTTGGATTTTTGATTTAAGTTGAATGGACAATACCAAACAGGAACTTGACCATCCATCCATCCATCCATCGTTCTATCAATATCTATTTCCAGGGTTTTAAATAAGCTCCTGCCAACCCGGCAAATGCTGGTGAAAATCCACTGTGGCGGGTAACGCATATCAACACACTTGCCAATTTGCCGGGTTATAATTAATAAATTATGTTCTATCACTTTGCATGGCATCGTTATCAGAGTTCTTCCTCTAAAAGGAGCCTCAAACATAAGCAAAACAACATGTTAAGAGGGTCACACACAGTCTAAGAGAAATGCCACATCTTTGAAATTCGAACACATTGTTTTCTATGACTCAGGCTGTTCAAAATCATGCCGCTCCACACTCACATAGTTTTACATCAAAATACAAAGCTAGTAGAAGTTCTGAATGGCTGGTAACTTAAAAATTTAGTAGCCAAATTGCCTGGTGAGTAAAAAGTTGATTACAAACCCTGTCTATATCAGATCCATATACCTTTAAACATGACTATATATTTACAACAAAGCATAGCCACATATATCTACTGTAGCTGCTTAAATATGATTTTAGTAATGTAATATCATCTTTAACTTAAATGGTTAGGTTAGGTTAGGTCCTTATGGATGCATATCAATGCATCAATCCTGATGTATGAGTTACAATACATTACAGTACAGAAGTTATGTTGTGAATGACGTTTCATGTTGTTTTTCATGTGCTGTAAGGTAAGCCAAGGCATCTTTCTTTAACTGAAAGACAGGCTCCCAAACACACCCACTCACATACAGTGTCAAGGGGATTTGGTGTACAATAAGGGAATCTTCCTGGTAACACGTTTGGCTGAGGGAGAGTATTAATGATGCTTTGGGTCCGCTAGTGGAGGAGGACCACTCAAAGAAAGAGCAGCTGGCCCAGCACAGAAGAGGAGTGTCCCCCTCCTCTCTCCCTTTCTCACTCTCTCTTTTAGAGGCAAGATTAAAGCTTTGAGCAACAAGACATACTACAACTCCCACGCTTCCCTGGCCCGCTTCCAGACTGCTCAGGCAGAGAGAGAGAGAGAGAGAGTTTGATGGTGGAGAGGCAACAAAGATCCTGAGAACGTCTTTCAGTCTCGAAGCGAGAGTGATAGGAGATGGAAAGAGAAAGAGGAACAGGCAGATTGAGACAAAAAAAACGGAGAGTGGGACATTTTTATCAGGTTACACCCTCAGTGGCTGGCAACCAACTTAACTCTGTTTGTTCTTTTATACCTCTTCTATACTCCTCGCACACACACTCTAAAACAAAGACAGCTCTGCGTGGGCTTTTAATGGTGCAGATCCAGTCTGGCCTTGGTTAATTACACTGTGTGTTGTCTTCACAGGGGCAGTGCTACACGAGACATGTGCTCATTGCAAGTAATGGCCACTGTCATTGTTTGAGGTGGAAGTGCAAGGCTAAAATATACTCATTACCAAGATATTATTTAGTACTGTACGCCTATTATAGGGACAATCCATCAGGAGCAACCTGAAGAATCGTGCTTCATGAGATTGTGATGGTGATGAGTTCATGGATCAACCTTTGGTGGGTTTGAACAAACTTTGCCAGAAGAACAGCTCTGTATTCAGATTTTAGTTCTTTTAGTTCTTTAACTTTTGTTTTACATGTGATTCTTTAGCGCCGCACTTTTCTTTCAGCAGCTCGCTGGCTGAATCTAGTCCATTTCATAATTTTTTTGCCACTCTAAAATCGACTTTGATGAAATCGTTGCACTGCCTGATACATGACAGTGTGAAACTCAGCGGGGAGTTCAGAAACACTCATCGGCCGACAGTTAGCAGACTGCATTTTATATCTGGTTCTGGTGTCCACTTAAGTGATTTTAAAAGCAATTTTTAATCATTCAGGGACAGGGTATGTTATGTCCAAACCACCATGGTTGATAATCGTTGACCCTTAATCATCATTTTATGACTTTCCTCTGTTTATGTAGTCATTGTGCTATTTATAACATCATAGATTTAACATGACTGATGAAGCTTTACTGTAGTTCAGATATGCTAGAATATTTGATTGCACATGAACAGAAAAAAAATATGCTTTTATTCTCCCAGTGCTCATAATCTTAGCTTAAATGTTAAAGGTGTATTCGGTTAGCCTGGCTCCGCCCTCCTACGCACTTCCGCTCAATTTCATTTTCCTTCAGTACTTCGTCTGGGACTGCTGTATATTCTTAGGTTTCCAGAAATCAATTTTTTGTAGGACCAATCAGCGAATAGAGGGAGTGGCTGAGAACGTTGACGTTGATGTAGCGCGTCAGTTTGAGTTGGAGTTCAGTGATGGCAGCGGAGAAAGACGTGAGAAAATCTATTCGGTCCGTTGTTGCAAAACTGCCGAATATACAGAAGTTAAAGCCGGAGCAAGATCAATGTTTACTAAGTGTTGTTGGTGGCCATGATGTTGTGGCCCTCCTCCCCACGGGGTTCGGGAAAAGTTTAATTTTCCAGCTCACTCCGCTAGTGGTGAATGAGTTAGCTAAGGCGAACGATAGGGATGCAAAGCCGATAGTTGTTGTCGTCTCCTCTTGTTGCAGTAATGGAGGACCAAGTTAGGGAGGCAGAGAGGTTAGGAGTTCGTGCTGGGCAGCTCGGCGTGCACGATGATCACTGTACAGCATTTGCGGCAGATCCGAAATGACCGCAGCGGCGTATTGTTAATGATTACACCCAGCTTCGACAGTTGACTGAATACATCACTGTCCTTAGTGACAAATATACATTTAGGATTTAGAATTGTTCCTTGAACTCTTAAATTCGATGAACAAAACATGCAGCTCTCGTTGACAGACATCTTATTCTAAACATAATCCTCTGATCATTCGGACTTGTTTTTTTTTATTGCTTAAAACAATACACAAGTAATAACATAAAACATAAAACAAAAACAAACAAAAAATAATAATAATAAAAAACAAAAATAAAACAGTAGGGGGATAATATAAAATAAACATTAACAAGTTTAGAGAATTACATGACACTGAAAAAAGGAAAATAATTACAAACAGATAATGTTTTTAAGACTTTTTTTGTTCTCAGACAACTTAATTGAAAAGAGGTATTTTTAAAATTCTTTCACAAATATAAGAAAGAGAGGTTGAATATGGAATTCGGACTTGTTTCCAGCCGGTTTCGGCGCATGACATACGTCACGACCACACGTTAGCGATTGGCTATGGCAGATCCTGAGTGACTCTGGGCAGATCCAATAGTTTTGAACTTTAACAGCGAACCCGCCTACAAGGAAGTTAACGTTTCTCAATGGAGCGAGGCCAGACTCTCTGTACAAATGAAATGTACGAGAGTCTGGTAGAACCAGGCTAGTATTCGGTTGCTCTTTAGCAAGCATTAGCATTCCTGTTCTTTGCGTGTTTTATGTACCGGTACCTCTACATCACGGATTTGCACCTTTAGTTTCAATGTTTTCTGTTGGATTGCAACAGACTTGGTTTCATGTGTCACTGCCTTGTGACAATCAACAAGATCACAATCTTTCACAAGGATACAGGATTTGTGGGAGGACTTATGGTGGCATCAGTGAATGTAAGAGTGATAAGCTATGATTAAGCCAGAAAAACAATGGATTTTCTAATTCCAGCATCATGTGTGTATGTGGAAGCCAAACATCAGGAATGTCATTGTGGTTCTAGATCAGGGGTGTCCAATCCTCCTCATGTAGAGCCACTGTCCTGCAGAGTTTAGCTCCAACCCCAATTAAACACACCTGAACCAGCTAATCTATCTCTTTCTAGAAACTTCTAGGCAAGTGTGTCGAGTCAAGTTGGAGCTAAACTCTACAGGAGGACAGTAGCCCTCCAGGGCCGAATTTGGACGCCCCTGTTCTAGTGTATGGAAAGAACATAGGAAACAACTATGGAAAGTACAAAGGAAACAACTTAACACTTCTCATGAACTGACTAATGTGTTGTTGCCGGTTTACTTTAGTCATCCGAAGAATTGTTTTGGCTGGATTGGAACATTCCAAGTGACACCTTTGCACCTTCCTGCTCTCGGACTGTGGCTCGCTCAGATGGATGCTGGGAATGTTCTAGTATGGCAGAAAGAATATGGCTTTATCATTCACTATTTGCATTTATCGTTTTATTTGCATTTATGGTTCCATGCAGAACCTATAACATTCATGGAACCTTTTCATTGCTCTAAAGGTTCTTTATATTGAATAAAAATGGTTCTTTTAAGAACCGTTCACTGAATGGTTCTTCTGTGGCATTGCTGAGAAAAACCCATATATTTTTGAGAGCGTTGCAGGGCCTCACCAGCTGTGCACCAGCGCCGTGTGCCCCAGGGGATGGCATTGTGGGAAGGGCCGCAGTTCAGGGACCCTTTTGAAAGAGAATTGACACTCTCAGAGGACTTTATTATATGATGTGGCACTGTTTTTCTATTTTAGTAATGCACTTTTACCCTCTCACTGTTGTTTCAGGATGTGGGGTGTGGCCTCCTCCTGCCTCTTGTGGGAAGGGGGGAAAAAACCCGCCCTTTATGGGTTCAAAGAAGCGCCGTTACAACATTGGCACTGTTTGTATGCAAAACGGCCCTCATATCAGCACGTTTCCTTTCTTATGGGTTTTGTTGAAGTGTCCGAACTGTCATTCTTTATCTACAAGAGGCCGATGATAAAAGTGTGTTTTACTGAAGGATTAGACGCAGTACACATTCACAAAATTACACTCATCATGGAGAGAAAGAGAGGATGTGAAGAGCAGAGTGATAAAAAGAAAGAGGAATAACGCTGACAAATGTACAGTACAGTAGGTGGTATAAGACCAGTGTCAAACTGTAGAGATCCGGCTGTATATACCTTGGTAGATATATTAGGATATGATGAGGCAGGTTATCTTTATTTACACAAGTATGACAAAGAAACATGGAGGAATGTGAAAATATAGTGTGGGACGTGTCCCAAACAAGAGAAAGAACTTGCGATTAAGAGTGTTGTAGGGCTCAACGTGACACTGTTGCTGAGTACGTTAGCTGTTAGTACTTCCCACATTAATATAGAACTTAACCTGTTTTTTTTTAATTGCGTTTTATTAAAAATATTAAATGTGGCTCATCTAATCAGAATTTAAAGTCAGAACTATGTGTATATATACTTTTAAAAGTTTGGGGTCATTTGTTTTTATTTAAAAAGTGGCAGCATTAAAATTTATAATGTTACAAAAAAAACTATTTCTAACTAACTTTCTATTCATCAAAAGATCCTGATTTTGTTTGTGTGTGTATCTGTTAACATTAGCCTACAAGTTCGATTAAACCGTCAAAATAAGGAATATATATATATATATATATATATATATATATATATATATATTAAATATGAGGGAACAACAAAACACTAAGATTAAGGTATTTATCTGAGAAAATAATTTTGTAAAAATAGCTACATGTTTAATTTTACTATGCAAAGAAAAATGCATAGAAAACGAAAAGCTCACAAGAAAAAGCTTACACTGACTATTATTACTGACACAAAATTATTTCGTTGGTTCTCACTTCATCATTTCTTTGTATGACAGCCTAGCCAAATATTATATTCGCACAATTTGGCATGTTTCATTGCGTTATCACAAATAAAACCATTGACTCAAGCACAACTCCGCAATATGCTTACAAAATCTTAAACAAATTTTTAAGTCTTTCCCTGCCATTGACAGACAATCCCTGTTTTCACTGTTATACGTTATGGGGGTGCTATTACGCATCTTCTGAATGAGTACTGAATCTCCGGGCAAATAAGCAGCAGAAACAAGCGATAGAAGCATTGCTGCTTACGCACATGTAAAATAATATGATCATCAGACATTAAACGGCATATAAATAATCAAAACTGCCTAACATTACCGAATGAAATGTCGACCCAGGAAGAGGATAGGACTGTGAAGCTTTGGGGGTGTTGATGGACTCGATCTTCTCCATGCTTTGGTCATTGTTCTGAATGTGATTCGGATGTCGTCTTTGACAAAAATGCAGGTTCAAAATGTTGCTTAAAAAAAAAATATGAAAGAATAAAAATTGTTGAAGGGGGAGAGGGGAAGAGTGGGAAAACAGAGGCTGTGTCACAGAGAGAGGTGAGACAGATTCTTGTGAAATACCTGACCTGCTTGTTTAACATGAGTTTACAGCTTCATACACACACACACACACACACACGAGTCATCAGAACAAGAGCTGTAAATCTCACCGTCTTTGTGATTCACAGATTGTGTAGACACTAGACACACTCATCCAGACTCACCTGCTCCTGTCTGATATCGGGAAACGTCGACTTTTACAACATTCTCACAGTTAACACAGTTTATCTGTTTTGTGTGGGTGTTCTTCAGACGTTTAACAGAAAGAAGCCTCTTTTCCCTTAAGCCTCGAGATTTTAGTAAAAAGTACATATCCTTATTTTCTCCATGTTTGATGATGAGTTAGGACAAGACACATTCAGACCGTTTCTCCTGCACTTACACATGCAAATATTATATCTTTCCTTGTTTCATTTGACAGCATAATCCATCAACTGTCCTATCAGGGCATGTCAAATGTGTGTTTTAAACTTTGCATAGAGGTCAGTAGTTGTTACGTTATTTCAGCTGATAACTTGAACACAGAATGCAAGTTTTGTTTTCATATATAACGAGCTTGTTTGACTGAGTATTTTGTCTTTTTCCCATATAAAACTGTTTCTCCCTTGTCACCTCTGTGTGTTTCTGTGAGTAATGGCTGTGAAAAGCCCTGAAGCCGCTCTGTGTCTTCCGTCTCTCAGGCTTCAGTTCAGCCCAGTCAAACCTCAGTCACCTGTTTGCTGTAAATCTGTTTCAGACCCACATAACCACGTAAGGTTGTTCAGCCAAAGAATGAGTCACGTTCCAAGGAGAAACAAGGCAGGGAACAGCGGTGAGAGAGTTTAATGAAACCGATAGCACCTCACTCAAATCATAAAGATCAGTACATATTAGCCAGCATCACTAGTAGCTGTATCGGTTTCACTTTAATATCAGTGCGAGTGATATTTCATCTGGCTTGGCGTGGATGGCAGATTCCATTAGTACGCTGGTTTCCTGTAACAGTTAAACTTCACGCCTCATGTACCTTGTAGCTGCGAGGAAACGTTCACATCTCACTCAAAACGTTCACATCCAGCATTCGCTGAGCAGTCATGTTTAGTTTTCTGCTGGAAAACACTTATCCGCATGTGAGTCACTGAAGCTGATCTTCACTGTTAGAGAAGAGGCTCCGTCAGGTTCTGGATCGACTAGCTGCTACTTGCACAGCACTTATGCCTCATTAGTTTTCTCTGTCAAGTCACCTTTATCTATATAGCGCTTTATACAATACAGATTGTTTCAAAGCAGCATTGCGGGGTTAAACTGGAAAATTATTCAATGACGCAAACAGTTCAATTATGTTGAGTGCCATCAGTGTGACAGTGAAAACGCCATGTTTTCTAATGATATCTCTCAAGGGTACCATGTACAGGGTGAAAACAACGGTCCTAGTACCGAGCCTTGCGGTACTCCATATCCTGATTGATATGATTCCCTTTTCATTTACTGCTACAAAAATGTAAAATGGTCAGATATGTATGATTTGAACCATGCCAATGCATTTCCACCAATGCCAACATCATTTTCGAGTCTATTCAAAAGAATTTTGGGTTCGATAGTATCAATATCATATCTGTGTGAGCTTGTTTGTTTGATCTTGTGTTTAACTGGACTGGTCGAGCATCTCCAATGTATTGGGCATGGAACATTAAAATCATATTAAAGAAAATGTCTCAATTGTAAAACTGAAAACTATTGAAATGAAAGCCATAATGAAAGCCTTTCTCGGCCATGAACTCCAAACATGTAGAAAATGAGAGGATTGGCATTGTTTCTAAAGACTTCTTTATTTATAAATCCTTTAGTAAAGAATTGTATGCTCAGGACTTTGATACAAGTCCTACAAGAGGATTCATTCACAAGCCAAACTGCACAAAAACAAGTGCAGTTTGCATTTGGTCATTGGTCAGTAATATTGCGTATTCATTTTCTTTGACAGGTCTTCCTATCAGCATTTACGCCAAGTACTGCTACCGTAAGCTGCAAAAAGTGGCCATTACTGGGGGCAAGAAGGTAAGGTTTATTTTATTTTATTATTATGTTATTGATGACATTAGATGTTGGATTTATTTAACTGTATTGCTCATTTCCCTATTTTTAGATTAAAAAATAACCTTTACCGTCATCTAACACTCACTTAAAGTAAATCTTTTAAAGACCGTAATAATAGTCTTTAGCAAATCTCCAAATATACATTTTTCATACAATACATTATAATGTTGTGATACTTACATTCACTTGTAGCTTTTAAAATGATTGATTTTAGTGTTTTGTTTTAAATTTTATATTTAGACAAAATAGTATTGAATTTTAACATTGAGCATGTAACGCATATTGGCCATAAATCGAAAATAATGGCCAAAATTGTAACTCAAATTAACAAACATTGCCCATCAGCCCTGATCTGCATCCAACGTCAAACATAACTTCAATAGGCAGGCAATGGTTCTTAATCAGCTCTTGAGTCCAGCTTTGACTCACTGACTTCTAATATGGTTACGCCAGACACATAGAAGTTGGATGATCCCATCATGTGATGTCGAATGATAATTGAAAACAGTTTTTCCTGGGAGTTTTGTTTATTTGTAGATGCCAGCACTGCTGTTAGATCGAACCCAGGAGTCTCCAAATGGTCAAAAGAAGCAGTATATGGCACAACCGTCTAAAATTGGTCACATCTGTGAGCAATCAAATCACCCGGCCTTTAGGAGCACACCATGAGAATTACTAATCCACTAACCCAAACTAAGAAGAAAAGGTTACAACAACCCCCCCCAGGCCCCTCTATAAGCCGCCTCGTCCATGCACACGCTTCACTGGTACCGGCACTGGCACTAGCAGAAGCTGTTTCCTCGGCCTATTTGTCCTTTCACCAGTCCCACCCTGTAATCAGCCGTCCCACCTCAGTCTCCAACGCTTTTACTGGGTGTGCTATTTTTACCCCCGCACCGCGCCGCTACGCATTATCCCGCTCGCCGCTGTTGTTCCATATTGTGTTACGGTTGAGATGGTGTCCGTCTGTTCCACATAGTCATGAGGGAAACGCATAGTCTGATCCACAGAGGCTTTGTGTCAGTGGCTGGTTGACATTCAAAACCTGATGCTGTTTTGTACTGGAATAGTTCAGCCAGTTAGGAAGATTCTGTCATCATTAATCCCCATGCATAATTTCCCACACTTTCTTTCTTTCTTTTTCATGCAGTGAAAGCATATAGTGACCACAGACTGCCAAGTTCCAAAAATAACACACAAGTACAGCAAAAGCACTATAAATGTAGTTTATATTTAGGATGCACTGATATTGAAATTTTACCCAATAAATGTTATGTCCGATAACCAATAAATTACCTATATTAAAATGATGTGATGTGATAAAATAAAAAAATACATAATATATAAATCATTTGATTCATTTTCAAATAAAAAAATATATTAAAAAATCATTAAAAAAAAACATTTAATGCATTAAAAATGAATATTCATTTTGAGATGTACTAAAGATTACATTTAACGGTGTTATTAAATTATTGCGATTTTCAGAGATTAACTTTAAGTGAGAATTAGATGATGGATTTAGATTTAAATGTAAATGTAAAAATGGGACAAATGAGCAATACGATTAAATATACAGTATTGGCTGATAATAAGAATATTTTTTTAAATCTCTAATATCTGTACTACAGTTCAATGGTTTGGGGTCAGTAAGATTTTTTAAACAAGAAATTAACATTTTTATTCAGCAAGGATGCAAATTGATCAAACGTGACAATACTTTTATGTTGTTACAAAAAAAAATCCTATTTCAAATAAATGCTGTTCTTTTGAACTATTTATTGATCAAAGAATACTGATTGCAATTTAGTCAGATTGCAATATATTGTACCTGTGATTGAAGCGTGTGCCTTGTTCTGTCTGTAGGGTCTGAGGAAGCCCACTCTGGAGGAGCTCGACCACGGCCGGGACGCCATCGTGACCCCGTCTCTTTTCGGCAGCGCTCTGGAGGAGATCATGGAGAGGCAGAGCGAGCTGTTCCCCGACCGGAGACTGCCCTGGGTGCAGGTCCAGCTCTCCCAGTACGTGCTGGCCCTGAGTGGAGCCCAGACCGAGGGCATCTTCAGGTGAGACCACAGAGGATCGGGAAACGGGGTGTCTCGTACATAGCAAGCTCCGTTCTTCTCGGTCTAATTACTACACTACATGGCCATTCTGAAGTTAATGTTCTCATTCCTTCAATATCCCTCTTCATCAATGATGGAAGTCTACACTATTCCTGATGTTTTTCTTTTCTTCCCCCTGTAGCCATTGTGTTCTCTGTTCAATAGGGCTTTCTTCTTATGAATATAAGACATTTACTGTACACACTTCAATTGTCTTGTGTTCCCTATCAAGTGCGAGGGTACTTCAGAGGAAAAGTGTGTGCAAGTACACACACTCACACTGTAATGGGGACATGTTTTCATTAAATCCTGTGTGTGTGACAGCTCTGTCATGCCATCATAAGTGTCAAATTGGCTCCACCTTGTGGTCTAGTGTTACAAGATACACAAACAACCTGGTCCCAAATGGTTCACTTGATGTGTCTTTTTGTGTGTGTGTGTGTGTGTGTGTGTCCATAAGGTCCTCAGGATTTGAGGGTGTTCCATTTGTCATATTATGATTTAGAAGGCCACATGGCAGCATTTAGGATAATAATAAGATGAATAAGTGTATCATTAGCTGTCGTGGTCTTCATCTTGTAGAGTTCCTGGGGATATTGATGAGGTGAACGCTCTCAAGCTGCAGGTGGAGCAGTGGAGAATTCCCGAAAGCCTCTCAGATCCCAATGTCCCAGGTGAGAACATATGTGTGTCAATAAATGCATGTGACTCAGCATTTACTTGGAGAAAGGGAGTCTGTCAGACCTTTATAAGGATATATTGAAATAATTAACCATGATTCATTTTGTGATTCCAGAAGTTTCAAGAACTGTATTTTTTTGGTCAAAACAAAACAAAAAACACTGTTTTAGAGACCGAATCCTACTTTAACTTTAGTGTCCTCAAAGGCAATTCTTTGTGTAGACAACAGTATACACACACACATATAGCAGACACAATATTTAATGTGTTGGTTTGGCGATTTTCAGTTTCTGTCAGACGCTGGGAAATTCAGTCTACAAAAAAATACGTCTTTCCACACCTCATTAGTTTTCTATGTCAAGTCACCTTTATCTAGATAGCGCTTTATACAATACAGATTGTTTTAAAGCAGCATTGCGGGGTTAAACTGGAAAATTATTCAATGACGCAAACAGTTCAATTATGTTGAGTGCCATCAGTGTGACAGTGAAAACGCCATGTTTTCTAATGATATCTCTCAAGGGTAGCATGTACAGGGTGAAAGCAACGGTCCTAGTACCGAGCCTTGCGGTACTCCATATCCTGATTGATATGATACCTCTTCATTTACTGCTACAAAAATGTATAATGGTCAGATATGTATGATTTGAACCATGCCAATGCATTTCCACCAATGCCAACATCATTTTCGAGTCTATTCAAAAGAATGTTGGGTTCGATAGTATCAATATCATATCTGTGTGACCTGTGTGAAATTCAGTCTACAAAAAAATACGTCTTTCCACACACTTTTACTCGATAATACACTATCGGCTATTTAGTTCTTGTCTGCTTTTTAGCATCTACTGTAAATGCTAGTGAACTGCTAAAAGCTGTCTAAATACATTTTTAGTGGATGGTATAGCATTAAAAATATTGAGTTGTTTTCTGGAAAACAAACCAAAAATATGAAACAAATTTTTGTCCAATCAAACAAGTGTTGGGAGTAATGGGCGCGACGAACTAGCAAGTAGCAAGTTTCTGTAACAATTAGGAAATAAAATTAGGGCTGGGCAACGATTAATCGCATCCAAAATAAAAGTTTGTGTTTACATAATATATGAGTGTGTAGTGTGTATTATTATTTTGTATATATAAATACACACACATGCATGTATATATTTAAGAAATATTAGCATGTATATACTTTATATATATATTTATACATAATTAATATTATATATAAATATTTGATTTATTAATACATAATTAATATTATATATAAATATTTGATATATTAATAACACATTTTTCTTAAATATATACATGCATGTGTGTGTGTTTATTTATACAAAATAATAATACACACCACACACACATATATTATGTAAACACAAACTTTTATTTTGGATGCGATTAATCGTTGCCCAGCCCTAAATAAAATCGTTCCTCAAATCATTTCATTGTGTTTTAAAGGCAGGGCAACATGTCCAGTAACCCGCTTGCATCAATAGACGTTCTGTTTACTGAATGCAACTATAAAATTGCGCATATCTTTTAATGTGTGTGTGAATGTGGCTGAACGCAGCACACAGATGTAACATCTCTCCCTCTGTCAGCGTCTCTGCTGAAGTTGTGGTACAGGGAGCTGGAGGAGCCGGTGATTCCTCAGAGCTTCTATAAGCAGTGCATCAGTCACTATGAAGATCCCGATGCAGCCATCAGTGTGGTTCAGTCCCTCCCAGAGCTCAACAGACTCGTGCTCTGCTACTTCATCAACTTCTTACAGGTACCGTCCTGCGACATGAGCACACCACCCCCGTAGTGTTCTGCACGATATTTCAACGCCCCGTCTTTCTCTCGTCCCAGGTCTTCGCTCAGCCGGTGAATGTGAGCAGGACTAAGATGGATGTGAACAACCTGGCGATGGTCATGGCTCCAAACTGCCTGCGCTGTCAGTCTGACGATCCTCGAATCATCTTTGAAAACACGCGGAAAGAGATGTCCTTCCTCCGCATACTCATCGTCCACTTGGACACCAGCTTCATCAAGGGCTTAATCTGACAGTCACGTTTTATTCACTATTTTGTGGCATTGCTCAGAATTGAGTGAATCGTCCGGGAGATGTCAGGACGTTCTCCTGCTCAGAGATCGTTCTCCTCTTCAAACATCACAATATTAGTTCGGACAATGGCTAAAATCATCCGACTCTTCTTGGAGCCAGACTCACTTTAAACTGAATCTGTTGACTGAATTTGATTCCACGTCACAAAGTTCACAAACAGGGTTGTGTTGTCACACGTTGAAACGAAACCAATGCATGATCATCGTCTTCTTCGGGTTTTGATTTCTGCCTTTTATGTTGATTAGCGGAGGAATGCATCGTTTGGACAATCTTAATCGTAATAACACACAAGCAATATGATCTGCGGTGTATTTTCTTAATTTAATATGGTATGAGTGTTCTGATTATTTAATATCAAACAATTGTAAGCTCAAGTATGAGCGCAGGGAGAATTGCTGGCTTCGGTTTTGTGTTTAAGGCTAAGCGCTAGCATGAAGAGGTCAATTAATATTGCAGAGCTGTGGACCACAAAGACAGCTCTCAAGTACTTTGCAACGCTTGAGGTCTGGTGCCTTAAATGGAGAATGTTCGCTGATGTATAAGATGCACAAGTGCCCATGTACAAAAAAACACACCCTTCATCCTTCAGCGTTATCAGAGGCTCCAAATCAATGGGTATCTCAGTAGTTTTCCCAGTCGTCCCATTTGAAAATAGAAAGAAACATATCCAGATGTGGGTTGGCTACATCAGTGCTAACTACTAAACCGTAGCAAACTCAACCAGGAACCAGATCTATTGCAGGTCTCGCCACTCTCACAAAATAACTGCTGCTCATTGGCCCACTGAAAGTTGACTAGGTTTCGGTTGATCCAGCCGCTCCAACATCAACGGATGGCCAAACATATTGAGTTCAGAATCGGATTCGAACAGGTTGAATAAATGGTTTTCGAAGAGGTTTAGGCCAGGATCATACTCTCGGGAAGCTTGGCCAACACCAGTCATGTCCTTCACGCAGTACTTTCAAGCTGAAGTGAGATTTCTGTGCCACTAACATCACCAAATGCAGTTACAAAAATATGAATAACTGTTTTATCAGTTACTTTCCCCATAAACACTTCTCAGAATCGGAAAGAGCTTTAAGAAAGCCCCCATGATAGCCATGTCAGGCTAGTAGTCATAACGTTTACACTTTTCAGGAGAATCAATCTCAATCTACAAATGGCAGAGGAGCGCCATATTTCATTTTTTGACTGGAATGAAAACAAGGTTGTGAGGGATAGAAGTACAGTGTTCAGTGGATAAACTTTAAGTAGACAAAATCTTGAGTTTTCAAAATGACATTACCTTTACAGTAATGTATACTGTAAGTCTTTAAATTCAATATGGCGTCTGCCCTTGACTAAGGTCTCTGCTCTCATTATTCCCTACATTAGTCCACTTAAAGGAGTGAATGGAAAAATTGAGCAAAGTACTACAGATTCCATCTTCTGGCGAGACGCGAGAAATCATTTGGTGCGACACTCATGTCTATGGTTTCAGACACCACTGCAAATGGCTGTCCCCTCAAATATGTGCAGTACAAGGTTAAAGAGGGCGATTTCGGACACAGCCAGATGTCACCTTCATATGCGTGTGCTATTAAACTGAGATACTCAGAATCTCTTCAAACTTGCTGCCATGACATTTGTTTACCTGACAGAGAAAACTGACCATAGAAGAAGACAGTTAATACACATTTTGGCTGTAGCCTATAGTGCCCCTTGTGGCAAAGCTGAGAATGCAACGAGTATTTGTGTTTAATAAAAAAATGGAGCTTGCTTAGAAGCGTTTAGAAGAGTATGTTTCAGGCCTTGGCGTCATCACTGGTAGCATATGAACACGTGCAAATTGCAGTCCGTTCTTGATCGTTTACTTAAAATTGAAGTTCCATGATTCATCTCCGATATACAAAAAACAATCACATTTGTTATTGATATAATGTGGGATCCGCCATCAACTCTGCCTGTGCTTGTGTATATAGACCCTTCATCTGATGAATAGTTTTATAAAGCTGAATAGTGAAAGTAAGTGATCCCCTGACTTGTTGCACTTCCCCCTCAGTTCATGTCTGCCACCCGTGGGTCTGTGAGAACCCGGATACTCATCCTGCACTCTGCTTTTGCTCCTTAAGGATTTGTGTCTTCTTTTGTTCTGTCCGTGTGAGGATGTGTGTAGGAGACAGCAGTGAATAATGACATGGATGATGTGTGTTTAAATTTGCGTAGTTTCATAAAGAACTCTGAAATAAAATTTGTAAATTTGTATAATTGTACAAAAATGGCTCTGACTTTCACTTCCTTGATTTGTCTCTGGCTCTCCAAAGCAACAAGCAAAGGCCTTGAGAATCCTGTGCCGTCAAGATCATTTCTTCATAGGGTTGCCAACCGTTCCGTATAATACGGAATCGTTCCGTATTTGACACATAAAAGGCTTGTTCCGTATTGAACTGATACGGAACGCACTTTGTTCCGTATTTTTGAGAATCAATTCAGTGCAAATCCATGACAGACGCATAGCTTCTAATATATATGTCAGACAGACTATGATGAATGAACGAAGACCCGCTGCATGCAAATTCGGGGACTTGGCGCCACCTTGAGGGGCTCTGACGTGTAATGACGTAGAGTTGTCTCATTGGTCGCACGTCAGAGGCGCCCACGCCATTGGATGTGCAGTTGCCGCAGCGCAGCCTGAGCGAGCCAGACGCTCAATGTGCAAGCTGTGCAGCTGCAAATGCATTTTACAGGCTTCAGTAAATCAAGTAAAATGTGTTTCCGAAGACATTTGTAGGCTATGATAAGAAAAACTTCTAAAAAAAAAAAAAAAAAATTTGTTGCACCGAAAAGAACATTCTAGAAGTCTAATTCTATTGAATAAGTTCGCACAAGGCTACAGAAAACTGTTGTGTTTATTTTTCTTCAAATGCAGTCTAAGCCGATGAGTTTCGAATGTTATATGTTGTATTTGTTTAAGTTAAAAATAAAACGTATTATAATCTAAACAAATACATGGTTCATTTGTGGCAAAATGATCATGATAGCCTTTATATATGTGGTTAAGTCCTGTATATTGATTAAGCCTACTTTGCTATTCTATAAATATATAGGCCTAATAAGTTGCATTATAATATGATATAAAATGTATGAATCCCCCCCCCCCCCCCCCCCATTCCTTATTTACATTTCAGAAAGTTGGCAACCCTATTTCTTCAGGTCAGCCCGAAATCAACGATTGGCTCATCTGCTGCTCAGTTTTGAGTATAATAAAAATGGAGGGATATATGCACTAGTTTTACCTACACTGTCACATTACAAAAAAAGAATTAGTCAAGAATGGATGAATAATACACTTAAAGGAGAACAACAGTCTCTACCAGTCGATCTACGAACGCCGATCCAAGCCTACTGTTCGCGCTCACCTTATCACAACTTATAGCTCGTTCACATCTCACCAGCGCACTTGGATCGGCGTTCGTAGATCGACTGGTAGAGGCTGTTTTTCAAAGATGGCTTCTGCCTGTATACGCGAAGTTGACTGTATGTATAAAATATCTTCTTATTAAACTGTCTGGACACTGACAAAGTTCTCAATGCTTCGGTTTGAAGGTAGGGACCCTCATTATGCTACCGTGTTAGTGTGGGGCTATTTTCAGCCTTGTTAGTGGTATTAACAAGCGATTTTTATTTGTCATTACACTATGCCCAATATACTAGCGTTATACTAGCTTTATAGGCTAAACTGTTTTTAGAGATAAAACTATTTACATTCGATAATCATGAAAACAAATCTCAGATAACGGTTGACTAGGTACCAATGTGTAATTAGACCAAAGGTTCATTTTGCGCCGGAGTTCTCCTTTAAGAACACTTACAAACCTTTACAAAGGTAAACTCTGAGCTCTCATGACCTCTTGTGGTGAAGTCAGGAATCTCCAGTGAATTAAAGGTTGATCAACTATCGCTGTGTCCAGGGCCTGAAATTAACACCCGACCACCTGCCAAATGCGGGTGAATTTTGCTATTGGCGGGTAACACTGTCAATCTACCTGCCACATTGGCAGGTAGCCAATGAGAATTGAGTGATTCATTAGGGTTTTTTTACGTTTTCATTTTCATTGCGTTGGACCTTAGCTATAATGTGGCGACACATTACTGGGGTAAAAAGGCCAGCTGAAACAAACAACCAACAAAAAGATGAGGATGAGTCAAAGAAAAGTAAAAGAAGACATTTTAATACAAAGTGGTCAATTGGCGACAACGGCAAGGTTCGTGAGCGGCTGATTTATGACAGCGACTCTCGTAACGTTCATGCGATCAGAAAGAAGATGAGGCCCTTTCTGACTACGTTTGGATGTGCGAGTATTAAACTGTTGGTGAGATGGGATGAGATAATGTAACGCTGTAGGCTCCAGAACAATGACAGTTGCACAGATGTGTGCGTGTGCGTGTGCAACTGTAGTACATGTTGGGAGTTGGGAACCGGTGAGAAAATGTCCGGTACCCGGTAACTTTACCAGTAATAATATTAATTTAGTTCTGCTTAACGGTTCCTGAACGCTGTAACTAAAAGCTGTGAGGACCTAGCTGTTTACGTGACTAAATCAGCCATCAACACAGCCGCGGGTGATTTGTTTACATACGAGCTGCGGTAGGTCTATAGATCTGTTGTGCGTGTGTGTGTCAAAATCAATGAATAAAAAGATTTTTTAAAAATGTATATTCTAAGAGTTATTATTACTTATATTGATTTCGTTAATAACTTGACAGCACTTAAATGTGTACAAGTTAAAGAACAATATTGTGAAATTCCCTATTTTTCACCTTTAGGCTATGAGGCAAAAAAAAAAAAAAAAAGGCTGGTAAAAAGTCTCTGTGGCAGGTGAATTTTGATATCCACCTGCCACAGTGGCTGGTGGCCAAAAAAGTTAACTTCAGGCCCTGGCTGTGTCCCAATTCAGAGGCGGCATTCGAAGGTTGAATGCTTCACAGCGGTGCGACTAAGGCTGTCCCAATTCGAAGGCTCCTTGTGTCCTACAAATGCGTCCTTCGTTTCACAAGGATAGAATGAGTGGATCCTTTGCAGCCGCCTATCC